TTTTTTTTTTTTTTGAAATTTAATACGAAGTTAAATTTTGATATTAATAATTTTTTTTCGAATTTGACATTAAATTTTTCTCAAAATTCAATATTAAATTAAACGCCATTTTTTTCTTCTTTTTTGAAAAATTTACTATTAGTTGTATAAAATTTTATCTCAATGATGTAACATGCAAAAAAAAAAAAGAAAAAAATCCCAATAATACTTAAAATTTGTTATTTACAAAATTTTATTCAAAAAAAAAAAAATTGTTTTTAGTTTTGGTAAAGGTTGATAATCAACCAATACGTTTACAACTATGTGATACTGCTGGAAAGGTATGATCGTTTTTTTTTTGCTTATTTTATTAAAAAAAATGATAATATTGTTAAATTTTTAAGTGAATCTTTAATAAGGGATATTCTATTGACGATACCATAATATCATAAGCAAGTTTAATGCACATATTTATCGTATCCCTTTATTGGATACTATAATTGTAATTGTTAATCATATATCGTTTATACGAAATTCGCTAAAAATTGGTATAATTCAAAAGAATTCATAACAAATGTATTTAATCAATTATACCTTTTAGTCAAAAATTTTAGCACTAATTAGATTAATTATAATCATTGCTTATATCACTTCTCATATTAAATCATGCTAAAGTACAAGCAAATACTGTAATTAAGTGGTGACATTAAAATTATAATTATTTAAAAATTTGCAATTTCTTGATTTTCGGATTTAGTTTTTTTTTTTACTCTAAAATGAAAGAAGCGAAAATTTCCAACAAATTATTTGCTTATTATTTTGATATTTTATCATTTCCACTCAGTTCTGCTTATCATTTGCATGTTTGATAAGAATAAATCAATTCATAGTATGGGATCCGGTATACAATGCCGTTTGTTTATCCGGAATACTGGCTTTTGTTTATTCGGAATACAGGACTGCTTATTCATTTAATTTATTTCATACGATCTTTAGTACCAATTTTTTGAATCAACGGAAATGATTGTCTATTTGTTTACTAATTAAATCAATCATTTAATTCAATACAAATAATATTACTCTTATATTATTAACAGCCCAATTAATTAGCTGCAAATAAATTTTCTTGCATATGCAACTTCAGAGCTTCTAGAATCAAATACCTTTGTAATTGATAAATTTTTACAATTTCTTTTACTTAATTAATCAGAAATGAAAAACTATTTGTTATGATATACTTTCATTAGTTCAATTTCATTACGTTTCATTTTCATATTACATTTTTACAGGTAACAAATTATGATATAATGAGATGATTATTGATTATTAATTCTGATCATTACCAATATCAACTTAATATCATTATTAATATCAGTAATGTTTTAAGTAACAAAGTATTATCAGCTTATTTCAGTTTTAATATAAACATCATATTGTGTGATCAATCTGTTGAAGATGATATTTACTAAATCTTACTAAGGCCGGATTTGATTCACTACGACCATTTACCTATCCAGATACAGATGTCTTCTTGTTATGTTTCAACGTTATGCTACCCAGTACTCTCCGGTCAATTACCGATCATTGGATACCGGAAATTAATAAAACAGTACCTAATGCACCCAGTTAGTATACATATTTATTATTTTAAAATAAATTTCACAACAATGTATGTATATGAAATATATAAAAAATGGAAATATTTGAATAATTGAAAATTAAAAAAAAATTTAATTATATGTTAAAAATTATTATTGGAATTATATGCTGCATAGGTGTTTTACATTTAATTAGTAATTTAAATGAAGAAATTTGATTAATCTTGTAAGAAAATATGACGAAACAATATGCGTAACTATCGTACTTCTCATAAAACTATAACTGTTAGTTGACAAATAGTAACAATTAATTAATTATTTAAATTATTATTTAAATTAAATAATTATTTGAAAATAAATAATTCAAAAATTTATAAATAACGATTTAGAAAGTTGAAGATAAATGAAGAAACTTGATTAATCTTGTAAGAAAATATGACAAAACAATATGCGTAACTATCGTACTTCTTATAAAACTATAATTATTAGTTAATAAATAGTAACAATTAATTAAATATTTGAATTATTACTTAAATTAAATAATTATTTGAAAATAAATAATTCAAAAATTTATAAATTTTTGTTCAAAAAAAATCAAAAATTTAAAAATTTATAAGATTCAGGAAATTTAAAAAACAAAAAGTTTAAAATTTAATCATTTAATTGTAAATAATCATTTCATATAAATATTTGGTGAATTTAATAAAAATTTTCATTATCCTTTTTTTTTAATTTCATAACTTTTTTTTTAATTTTCAATTTCAGTAATCCTAGTTGGCACACAATCAGATTTACGTGCAAATGTTAGCTTGGTAATTGATTTATGCAAAAATGGTGAACAACCGGTTAGTGAAACAAAAGCACGAATGTTAAGTGAAGATTTATGCGCTGATTATTTAGAATGTTCCGCATTAACACAACATAATCTTAAAGAAGTTTTTGATGCAGCAATATTAACAGCATTACGTAGTAAATCATCATCCAATACAACGACCACATCATATACAACTAAAATTACCAATATGATACGTTTAACACCACGTGAACCACGTGAACAACGAGGTATTCTTACTAATAATGGTAATGAAAGAGATGAGAAAAAATCAAGTCGTATTAGGCAAGGTTTTAAAAGGATTGTTACATTAACAAAAAGATTTCTTTAAAATTATCATCATTTTTTTTCCTTTTTATTTAAATCCAAAAATGAAAAATAATAATATTTTTTTTCATTCTTTTTTCTTCATTTTTCTTATTTGCTAAAAAAAAATGAAATTAAAAGAGAAAAGAAAACGGAGTAAATAAAATTTGCAAAATTGAAAATTATAATTTGAAAAATTAATTTCATTAATGTATGTCATTTCGTCAGTCTATCCTTTTCTTATTGTATTATTATTGAAAATAATTTTTCATTATTTGTAATTAATTGATAAAAACAATCGGCATAAGCCATGAAATATTTGCAATGTTTTTGCTAATAATTAATTTATTGCTGTTTTTTTTTTTTTAAAAAAGGGAAGGAGAAAAAAAAACAAAAAGGATAAAATTGACCTTTATTAAATATTACTAAATGTTAGAAACAATTTTTAAAATTAAATTTGTTTCATCGTTTTTTTTTTTTAAAAATAGTTAAAATAATCCAAAAATTTGCATTTGTTAAAATGTAAATATTGAAAAAATATGTTAATTTATGTTGTATGTGTTTATGATGTTTTAAAATTTTTGTAATTTATAGAAATGAAAGATTAACGGTTGAATTTTACAATTAATGATTAAATTTATTCATAAAAAAGATTGAAAAAAAAATTAAACCTCCGAATCAATTTTTTCATCTGTTATCTAATTAAATCATTTGTATTAACAGTTAGAAATTTTCGTTATTTATCTATTTTTTCAAAAATTTCAAACAAAATCTAAATCCCATTTCACGATGAATACTTGTCAATTTTTATCAATTCCATTTGTCAACCGTTAAATCATTTCATTTCATGCGTGTATTGATTCGATTATCGATAATTTTATTATTTTATTAATCAATAAGGATTTTACCGTAATCATTTTGCATTTTACCGTAATCGTTTGCTCATTTGTTGTATTGTAATGCTGGAAGAACGAAAGAAAAAAAAAATTGTTTCATATGCTTTATGTGTTTATAAACTATATTTGATGGTGCAATTTATGTTTTATAAGTGTATGTTTAATACATTCTTTTTTCCTTTTTCACACAAAGTAATTTACTATTTATTTAATTAGGTACTAAAAGTGATTACATACCTTATCAAATGTGATTACATACCTTATCAAATGTGATTACATACCATATCAAACGTGATTACATACCTTATCAAATGTGATTACATACCTTACCAAACGTGATTGCATGCCATATCAAACGTGATTACATACCTTATCAAATGTGATTACATACCTTATCAAACGTGATTACATATCTTACCAAATGTGATTACATGCCTTATCAAACGTGATTACATGCCATATCAAATGTGACTACATACCTTATCAAACGTGATTACACACCTTATCAAACATGATTACATACCTTATCAAATGTGTTTACTTACCTCATACAGATCACTCTTGCAAAAATTGAGTTGATACTCACAAACTTTATTACCATTATGGAATAACTACATGCTATTCTTTTAGATATTATTATTTTCATACTTTCACTTTCCTTGACTTACATATAACATTAATGTAACATTACATCAAATAAACCTTGAAATTAAATCATCAAATGAATCTTGCAATTAAATTGTACTTCAGAATTAAATTCACTCTTTTTTTTCATTCTTCAAATTCAAATCATGCAGGAAAAATAATTCCTAACAGAAATTAACCAATTTAAGATTTGTTTATATTGTATAAATGAATAACTTGAAATTAACTATTTAGATTAAAATTATAATTATTTATATTATATGAAAAATTTGATTAAAAGCATGCTAATTCAAATTAATTGCCACGTTATATAGCTAGCTTAATAATTTTATTTTCTTCAACGGTTTTGCATACATTTCAATTTTAGGATTGTGTATTTGATTACATGAAAGACAACGTAATTTACAGTACATGAATGTTTATGTCTATTAATAACTTTCAAATACTAATTTGAACTAATTTGAACCTAATACTAATTTAACAATCATTGTGGAAATATGAATGCCACCCTTACAGTAATACTTCTTCTAGCTTGAATATAACACAGAGTTTGTGTTTCCTTACATTATTGTTAATAAAAAACGAAAACTTTATTATTTTTCCTATGGTCATGGTTTTTAACCGTATCGACTTCACGGTGGCTACGGTTTTTGTACCGTATCAGCCTCACAATGGCTACGGTTGTGTACCGTATCGGCTTCACAATGGCTACGGTTTGCGTACCGTATCAGCTTCACGATGGCTACGGTTTATGCACCGTATCGACTTCATGATGGTTTTGGTTTTTGACTGCATCAATATTCACAAATCACTGCAATCGCTTCATCGAAATCATTTATTTTTTAGCTAAAATCAAATATAATTTTTAGCTCAAAAATGAAAAATAAACAGAAATGTATAAAATTAAAAAGACAAATAATTATAAAATATGCAAAAAAAAAAGAAAATTAAAATTCTACGATTTTTTTATTGTTTCTCTCAAATATTTGATCAAAATTTTGAATGAAATCTTTTCAAAAAGGAAAAAAAAAGAAAGTGTTAGTTGTATACAAATAATTACATCAATTTCAAAGAATGCATGCAAAGAAATAATCACACCGTATGAAAATTGCATGCTAAATGAATTATTTGCATGCAAACGCTGCGTGTATAATTGAAAATTTTCCATGGTTCACAAAAAAAAAAAATTAATTATTCATTGATGTATGCTTCCATAGTAATGTAAAATTATGCTCAATTTGATTATCGATCATTTTTAAAATTTCACTTTTTTTTTTATTTTTTATTTTTATTTTTAACAATACTTTTGTGGATGAATGTTATGAAAATTGGCAATAGTTTTATCATTTTAATTAATTTACGAAAAAAAAAGGAGAAATGAAATGGAAAAGGAATGAATATAAATTAAAAAAGAAAAGCAAGAAAAAAATTGAAGGAATTTCTTTTTCTTTGTTTCCAATTTAATAATTGACATATAATTTTTATAATTTAAAAATATATTTAAATTTGTTCATATTTTACATAATATCAATTATTATTACCAAATGACATTAGTGGAAAAAGAAGAGAAAATAAAATTTTGTAACAATACTTTTCAATTTGTTTCCTCATTTCTGAAGGTTAAATAAAGGTTATATGTACAAATTTTTATGTCAAAGAATGGATATATGTCATTGATGTAGACAGACACCAGAAAAAAAAAAAAGTGATATTGTTGAAAAAAGAAAAGGATAAAATTTTGTGCGATACTTTTCATTCATCTTCATTTTTGAAGGTCAAATAAAGGTTAAGTATACATATCTATGTGTCAAAGATGTGTCAAAAAAAAAAAAAGAATATGTGTCATCGACATTTAGGGTGTGCTTAAGATCCACAAGGGTAATGAAATTGTTAAATTTTTAATTTAATAAAATTTGACGGAAAAAAAATTAACAATTATGTTTATAAAAATAATTACTTGAAAAGTAGTACAATGGATGCATATATCATAATGGTTTATTCATAAATGACATTTACCGTATTAATATGATAGTAAATATCATCGAGATTAATTAAATATTTTAAGAAAATTTGGAAATAATTATTAATTAAAAATTTACAAATAAAAAATGAAATAAAAGGGATGATTTTCCAATATAAAACAATACTTTTCGTTGTTTTATTTCATTATGTAACGAAGGTTAACAGAGTGATAATTTAATTTACAACAAATATACATTGAATAGTTTTGTTATGATAACAATTAAATTAATGAAAATAAAAGTAAGTGATTACACGGAATAGTATCCGGAATGGTATCCGGAAGCGTTTTTTCCTTTTTTTTGTTATACGAATCTAACTAATTACTGAAAGAGATAATCCTCACTTGTTAACTGTTCCCTTATCATATGTTTGTTCAGTTTGTTTTCAAATATACAAATAATCATTATTGATTGAAATAAATTAAAATTGAAAATCATAACTTATCAAATGTACCTTTAATACTAATACTTTTAATGGTACCTTTAATATACTTTGAATTTTGCTAAAAGTTATTACTTAAATATATATTCCCCCTTAATTATAAAGATTTATTTTAATTTCCTGAAATGTATTATTCACTAATTATGGAGAATATTCATTATGAATAATGCTAAATATTAATTCTAAATTTAACCTTTTCTTAATGACACATTAACCTTTTTATGGTATTTCTTATTTTTCAAATCATATCATTCTTTGATCTTTTGTTAACAGATTTCTTAAATTGCTTTGATAAGAAGAACTTAGCAAAAATGTATTTCATATATCATATTGATAGCAATTAATGAACATTGATATAAATAGTAATTAGTAACATTTTAGGTGATATTTTAATAAATAAGCATGCATAAAGTTAAGTGAACTATTGAAAGAGTGCGAAAGTAACGGCAAATTGCTTGACATGTTTGTTGACAAAAGGAAAAAATTAATTTCATTTTTTGATTTATTGATAAAAATTCATTTTATGTTGGTAAAAATCAATTTTATTTGATTTACAAATAGTTTCTTTTCTTTTTTATTCAAAATTTTATTTCATTTTTTTTTCTAATATTTTTTAAACCCAAAAAATAAAATCAATATTTTCTGCTAATTTTATTTTCAGATTTCAGAAAATATTACTAATTATTCGTGTAGCTATTTAATTACAATAATTATTTTATGTATAACAATTAATTTGTATGTAAAGCTTTTGTTAAATTTCATTTTCAACAAAAAGATTATCTTTCAAGCAAATTTAACATGAAAAATTATATTTACTATTAATTATTCTTTTTCCCCCCCCCCCCCCCATCTCCAAACTATTCATTTTAGTGGATAATTTTGTTTTTTCAATTCTTCTAAATCATACACGTATTTACAGTATGATTTGATAAAGTATATTGGTAATTTATTAACACTATTTAATTTCATTATTATTTAACTAATAGCAGAAAGACATTTACGTTTCATTAATCCAAATGATTTGAAAAAAAAAAAACAAAAAAAATCTTTTGATTGTTAAAAAATATTCGGTCAGTTTTTTTTTTTAAATTTTTTACAATTAGCAAGAAAGAATAACGAATTATTTCATTCAATAAAACAGACCTTTTCTCATCTAATTTCTTTTATTTAAAGATTAGAAATTATCTTTTATGGTTGCATATTCTTATTAAGAATCATTAATGTTGTATTTTATGTGACAAAAAAAAAGAAAAGAATTTTTAAATTTCAATTTATTGCCTTAATAGTTGTTAATTATTAGTAGTTCGAATTAATTAACATAATTAAAATTTCGTAACAATTACAATTAATCTAATGAATTCATCTTAAGTTATGCAATTATCACTGATGAAAATTAATCCAAAGTAAGCCAATGTAAGTCAAACAATTATCATTGATAAAAATTAATCCAAAGTAAGTCAAACGAACAATGCTATCACTTTCAACTTGCTTTCAACTTGCAATTGCAATACTTATTATTTCTGCGTGATATTTCATTGCATGCATTCTTTCTTTCTTTTTCTCTCTCTCTCTCCCTCTCTCTTTCGTCAAATATTTTTTTCTTATATTTTTTAGCTGATCAAATTGATAAAATGATAAGTTGATAAATGCTTAATCTAGCAATGTAAATCATTAATTACACTTATGATTATTCTCTTCGATCATTTCTTATCACCAAATAATGTGCCATAATCAATTCATTTATTTTTTTATAAAATTGCAAATATGTGCATTTTATAAGACGAATTTTATAGTATTATTATATATAACTATAAAATTATATATTAGTTAAACATTTTTAATAATGAATTAATATTCGTATATTATTTAGACGATCATTTATATGATTAATGTGCTGCGCACGTGTCGCATCCATGGCGCAATTCATATATGAATATGTCACATATGCTACCATCAATAATATGAACTGTATATGCTGATATAAATTATATTTGTTTTATTTAAACCTTTAATTAATATATAATCTTATAATAGCTGTCAATTTATTAAAGGTATTTTTTTTTTTTTTGGAGGAGAGATGGTGACCAGAGGAGCGCTAATTGCTGAAAGCGCAAATGTTAAAGGGTAGAGAAGTCCTTAGGAAAATATGCGAATATCCGAAGTAATGTGTATATTTTTTTAATTTACTATCATTTAAAAAGCAAAATTTGAATAGTTAGCAATGAAAAAAATACTTTCAACTTTTCGTCACCGAAAATATTTTCCCAATCATTTCAATTATTACTAATTGAAATTACCAATTATTGCTGTTTTTATTTAGTGGTTGATTTTAATTACAAGTAAAAAACGTGAAGATAAGCGGAAATGATAATCATTAATGATAATTGGATCTTGATGATTATTATGTAACACATTTTGATACCACCAAATTATTACTTCTTTCATTTACTCCAAGTGCCAGAATCTAAGATCATGACCTGAGATGGAAGAGATCGTCAATGAAGGTTCAAGCTAGGCTATATTATCACTGTCTCCTAATTGTAAATTAATTATTTGCTACAGTATACAATAGCGATGTAGAAAAAATAACGACTTTTAGGTGTTCGTGAACCCGGTACAGGGAACTGATCCGGAATCATATAGATTTTTAAACTTGAAAAATTTTCTGGATCGATTTCAAAACGACCTAATGTTGTCGATAGGAAAGCTAGATGTAGTGGAATAAGAGGGAGGAATAAGGGATTGATAAGTTGATTAACTTAATTGCATAAATTTCTTACACTTTTAATTAGACAAGAAATGTTGAAGTTGACATATTCAGTTTTGGATTATGACATGTTCAACTTTTACAATTGATAGTTTCATTTTCCCCTTTATTATTGATGTAATCAATAGTTTTATCCTAATTAATAGTCTTTTTAACTAGTCTCATTACTTATTCCTAATTAGTGTTTTGCTTGAGTTTTTTTTTACTCTTTTATTTTCTAATTGGTTTTTGCATTTTTTTTTTAATTCCAACGATGTATATTTTAATCAATTAAATTTTCTATTTTATAGTTTACAAGTTTTATTTTGTTCATGTTTTTGTTACATATATTAACTGTATTTTTATTATCGCATTTTTGTTTACTTTATATCATTGTATATTAGGTAAGCAACTATTACACGTTTGATGTTTTTTGTAGGCATAATATACTTATAATTTTCATACTCTATAATTAATTAATTATTCTATACTTCGTAGTTAGTTAACCAGTCATTCCACATATTTTCATTTATATTTCTGTTGCAAATATTTCATTTTCATTTATATTTTAATTCCCAAATATGCAAATACATTTTTTGCAATATTTTAATTACAAATACGTCATGAATATGTTTATTACTATTATTATCGATCATTATTATTTATTATTATTATTTTATTATTATTATTATTATTATTATTATTATTATTATTATTATTATTATTATTATTATTATTATTATTATTATTATTATTATTATTATTATTATTATTATTATTATTATTATTATTATTATTATTATTATTATTATTATTATTATT